ATTTCCTCTCATATAATTAGTTATGTCAAGTGTAAAGCAGGGAAGCCTAATCCCTGAAAACTGAACTTATTTTCAGGAAATGAAGTGTTGAAGGATTTCTATTGGTAGCCTACAGTTGGCATAATGGATCAGCAATAGCATTACAATTTATTTCATCACACAAAATTAGAAAGCCAATGCCAAATTGAATTGAATGAAAGAACATATCGATCATTAATAAACACAGATTAATTGCACAAGCAGTCAGGCACTGGATAAGGAAGATATACTATTCAACTGAAAAGATTTGAAATAAATCAAAACATTCTTCTAATATAATCTTGAGAATCTTTGAAGCATTTGCTAAATGATATCATTATTATATATGTTATAGTACAGAGGGTGCAACATTTCATTAAACTGACATAATCAACTAAGAAAAAAAAGCTTATCATTAGGCACTGAAAATCAGATCTAATCAGAAGCTGCTTACAGCACCATACTCATTAGTCATTTCATTCAAAGCAGACCTGGAAATTTTCCCATCACCTGTAACTGATGTAGCGTCATCTTTACAAAGAACAAACACAAACTACAAATACCAGATAGGATGAAGTGTTAAACTATATATAAGTGTCTATATTCAGATAGGAAAAAAGAGTTCAACTTACTGGATTCTGCACTCCCAGGTTGGCAGGAGGAAGCAAAACAGAAGGATTAGATGAAGAAAGCAAGAGCACTACATTTCCACCCCAAGCTTGGATAATAAGCCAAAATGCACGTGCTGTTTGAAAAAACACTAGCAATACTGTGGCAATCAATCTGCTACTGGCAAATTAAGGTATCCTATGGCTCAATGATTGGTCATTGTGACAGAAAACATTTTTTATTCAGGCAGATGTAGCAAATTATCTTTTACTTACAATAGCTTAAATGGGTCTAAATTCAAGCTTTGGGGGATGTCAAAACAATATTCATAATCAATTCTAATTAAAACATATACAGAAGTTAAAATATTGGTATAGCCCCAATACCTATGTTATACATAAAATGTCTCATAATATGCACATAAAAAAATGTTAGTTTATTCTCCAAACTTCAAACCAGGATTTAATATTAGGGTTGAGGATTAGATATTTGTCGGGTCTTAATTTTTATGGATTTGTTTGATATTTCAACTGTTACCAAGATGCAGAACACCATCCAGGTGCAATGGATTGTGGGATGTCACAACTTCCTGGAAGCTGTCAAACATGCAAAACAGTGGAAAAATTCCTTGGTAGCATGTCTCCTAATTAATACAACAATTCTATAGTTTCAACTTGACATGCACTGATGTGAGGTATATTTACCACAAGCTATCTCACTCCCATCTGGAGCTGCAATTGGTTCTGGATAAGTTCAAAATACATTAAAGTATGACTGTCTGTAACTCTTTCATGTCGGTAAAAAGTGTCTGTAGATTAACTTTTGAATTATCATGTTTGGCAATGTAGACAAAAAATCTCTGTTTCCCAAAGAATGTTAGGATTATGAGATTGAAAAAAGGATTTACACCTAAATAAGAAGATTATCACCATTTGCAGACATATCATTAAAAATATCCTCAGACAGAATTTCGTGCAGAAAGTGATCATTAATGATCACTAATGCCAATAGTTAAGTCGTCCATATCTTGGAATAAAATGAGTGTTATGAGAATAATTGGCTGACACGGAGATTGCAAGAAATTTGGCATAAAATGTTTTTAAGCATTATTCTCTGGCCATTTCAGTTGGCACCACCACCTTATTATTATTTTTAATGGTAGCTCATCACCCCAACAAAGCATAATTAAAAAAACTGCAAAAAATATTTACTGCCTTTTCTTGTCAGAAATTGTTGACTAAAAAGTGGTTTTGATAATAAAAGGTAAATTTTGTGATTTACCCAAACCTGTAAAAGTGAGTGGATGAATATCAAGCCTTCTTCTTAAATCTGAAACATCTATAAACCACACCTGTTAAAACCTTATTTCCATCTTGTTATTTAAAAGAGTGCATTGTGCCTTAAGCTTAGAGCAGTTCTATTCATCCACTGAACTTACCTTGTGCTCCTAACATGGTAGCTTTTACAGTGGACAGGATCTTCAGCTGGGTACCTATGGTGGGGATTCTCTCACACACTTGGAGGAGATTCTGAAAGAAGAGATTTTATATGAAAGATGAAAAAGAAAAATGCTGTAATTGCCATATAAATTTTTTGCATGTGATTTTACAAAAGAGCTATTTTTTTTTTCAAATAATTTTTCGATATTTTTCTACTGACAGATGACACCTGTTTCAAATATATTGTTGCATCTTTAAGAAAAAGCAATTTTAAATATGTAACTGCCAAAAATTTGTTTCAAATAGACACTGATATGAGACCAGAACAAAGGCAGGATATAATGGACGTGCATTAACCAACTGTAACAATAACAATAAGTAATACAATTCACATTGTCCTTCAACTCACTGTTCTCATCTTCTTGTCTGTGCACTCCTGGGCTAGTTTCTTAGCTAGCTTAGTCACCTCCTCGGAGGCCTCTGAAATCTGCTTAGCTGTAGCTATCAGCTCCTTCTTGGACCCTCCATCACCTCTAGAGAGAGAAAGAGAAGGAAACAAGTGAAGAGAATTAAGGTTTTTATCTACTAAAGGAGATGAGGGTTACCTTGACAATGGAAATGTTGATAATGTGTATAATAGTTACATTATTAGGATGATATAATTTTGACTGTGGTTTTCAAAACAAGAGAGGGCATTGGCATGCTGAAATGACACACTGTTTCAGTAATTGTTTCCACACAACAATCAACAGTATGTTATTGGTCATTGTTCTTGATGTGCACGATGTTTCACTTACAAAAAAAACTTTAGAAGCTGAAAATCACTGAACTGAAAAGGATCAGTCATCAACAAGTATTCACAAATGTTCATTAATATAAGAAAGCTTTTATCCACCACTATTCCACATCATCTGCAAACATTAAATTATTTAAACGGCAATAACAAAGTATCTTTGATAACATTACTGATGTGTAACATTTACACTAAGGGGAATATAGCTTGCTCTTAACACATAATGATGATGTAAAAGCATCCAAAACGAGTACATTTTTTTTTTAGTGCTTATGTCACTAACCTGACAAGCTGAGAGAGCTTCGCCATAAGCATTGCCATCCTTTTAGCTGCAGCGATAATCTCATTGTCTTTACTGGACCATTGTTTGACTTCCCTATGTAGAGCATGGGCAGCCATCTGTAGAGAGAGAGAGACCATGCCATTTTACATCATAGTCGGTACAAACGTGTATCTAAAAGGGTTGAGAAATTCTAAGTTTAAAATATCACATATCAGAAAAAGTATAGATGGAATGCTGTTGGGATCAAACAAAAGGTTTTGATCACATAAAAGATGAATGGTCTTGGCGTTATCAACAATTTTTCTCAACATCATCATTTTGATCATCAGTTATAAATGTCAATATATTATGTAATAAGCATTTTTGGGAGACCAATTTTTTTTTTTGCACATGGCTAATGGTGTTGTTACATCAGCACAAGATACCAACAAAAATTAGATTTCAGACAACAAAGCACTCATGAAACATCTCATTAATCTGTGTTTGTGAAAGAAAATATACAAAACGTAGGCCTGATGCTAAAATGATGGATAACCCAAAAGAGGGAGGTCAGAACTATGTACCAGGGGACAGCCTTAATAAAAATGTAACTTATAGAAAAAAGACACAATGCCTGGGTCACCTCAACCATGAAAAAAAAATGAACCTGGCAAACCACAATTTGATTCTATATCCCCAACTGCAAAGAGGAAACAAAGTTTACAAATACAGTTTTTTCGTGTTTAGTTTTTGCATCTACACAAAACAATTTCACCTAAATCAACAGGTTCTGTCCACACATACTAATCCAACAAAAAATGCAGATTAACAACCTTTCACTCAACTAATACTATGGTGGATGTCAAAGAAAAAAATCAAGACATGGTATCCTACACATGTGCATCATACATGAATGCAAGACATGACATGCATAGGTCTTTTTTTTCTTCATATATAACATAATATAAATCAAATACACTTCTCCTCAGCATGGTGCATGTGACATCCATTTATGTTTAACACGTACATCTTGTTGACCTAATTGTGGTGTATCTATTACATAAACAACAACCGTACCATAATTGGCTGATTGGCTTGGGGCTCTGGATAACGTCTCTCAAACGTCTCCTCATCCTCATCATCTGTCTCTGGAGGAGGTGGTCTTGGGGGCACGCTCTCTTGTGGTAGGGGAGGTCTGGGAGGGGCATCTGTAAGTAATTTTAACATAAAATATTAAAACGGAACCTTTTTCATTGAAGAATGATAACATGCTGCATGCAGGGTTGAACTTCATGCTGCACAATACTATTTCAATGTGGTAAAAACACAGCTGGAGTTATTTCACTTTCATAATGTTTCAGATACTTACCCACTGTCTGACCTATTCAGTGAAAAATACCATTAAACAGTAATTTTTCTTAATAAAATTAATAATAAAACATTTTTATCTTGAATCATTCTGATGAAAAAAAGCTGGAAGTTAAATTACAAACAACAACTTGATCAATTTTCAAAGTTTTATCATTTAATAAATACTGTAAATTGGAGTGATAACATCTGCAAAAAGCAACAATGAAGAAACATTCTTAACATCAAATCAACATAATATGCCAGCTACAGTGAAATTCAAATAGCAGAATAATTATCATCATCAACAAGTTTGACATGTTAAGAATCACATGCTTAACATGGCACAAATTTGAGAACTGCATATCAATAATGGTGGTGTCAGTAAAGGTTGCCTGGTACAAACCACTGGATTTAACAGTGCCTGCCACCATGTGACCATGCATCAGCTACAGACAAAAAAAACCTGAAAGAAAATGACACATTTGAGGTTAATAAACACATGGCGGCAATGCAAAGGTCAAAGTTTGGGCGACGCAACATATTGGACAAAAGTACATTTTAAGTCATTGACACTGTGACTTTTCAAGCTTAATGCCACTGTGAAGTCAAAGCCATCGTGAACTGTCAATACACAACTGTCAGTATGAATGAGGTCATCTCAAAGACAAGGCCACACGTACTCTCTAACAATGAGAGTGATGACGATGGAAAACATTTCATGGATAAAGCCACTGTGAACTCTCAAAACAAGACGCAGGCAGAAACACCACAGCCTCAACTTCAATATACCATGGGTGGCATAAAAAAAGGTCATGAAAGGTCAAGGACACTGTGCACTCCTCATGCAGAACATGTTATGCGAATCTGTTCTCTTTATAACATGAAGAGTGGGAGAGCCTGGCCTCTGTGTTAAAGACTGTGGGAAGGATTGTGCCTGGGGTGCCTGCCTTGCTTGTGGCGCCCGTAGTGCCTGTGGCGGTGACGGTGGTGGTGGTGAAGGCACCCACTGCCTTCGCACCACTGGTGGTGTCATGGGTTTAGGAGGTACAGGTGGTGGTGACCTGGCCTGTCTGAACACAGCAGGCGGAGGTGACATAGGACGTCTAACTATTGGAGGTGGTGACATGGGACGTCTACCTGGAGGTGGTGACGTTGGAGGCCTAAAATGTGCAGGGGGTGACATAGGACGCCTTTGGTGTGCTGGGGGAGATGTAGGTCGCCTAATGTAATTAGTTAGTACATCTGGATCCTGATATGGCTGGCGTCTCCTATCAGCTGTGGGAGACAGGGGATGTGACCTGACTGTAAAACAAAATGCCATGAACATGTTAGGCTCATTGAATATGGTACTCTTGGTTCAATTATCAGCATCTGTCTTCTTATCTGGGTTCCTGCAAAATTATTTTTCCTTGGCGAGATAAACCTTTACTGACAGACTATGAAGCTTATCTATTTTCTCTGTGTGATTGTTTCTACTGAATAAATAAGTATTAAGATGAAGATGTGAAATGAAACAAACAAAACACAAGAACCCGTATGCAAAGTATTTGTCATGCTCACACCCGGTTCATTTGAAGCAAGAAGAACACAGGCAATATCTCTCTCCTGTGAAACCACAGCATTGCCCACAAGTCAGGCAGTTAGCATAATTCAGGAGCAAAAAATAATGGCAGACAACTCTTGGTTAGAAAAAATTCTAACAAGTGGTGCTCTCTGTAAAAAAAAAAATTATGGAACAAAGCAATCCCATGCCAAGTAAAAGAAACTATTTCAGGTAAAGTCACTTCTATTATCACCACAGGCAGCCAATGATCGATTCAAATATCCCATGGAGCCGAGAGGTTATTGTTAAGTCTGCACCAGCATGCTACAAGACTGCACACATCTATCGTTATCAACAAAGAACGATGCCTGAACTTCAAACTCAGGTATGGCTGGATAATGACAACTCAGTATGAAATGCATTTTTTCTAGGTTGAATGAAAAGGGGAAATGGGATTGGGTAGAGTATGTTGAGTCAATCCAAACAATTATCATGTTGGACTTGCAGTCAGTCCAGAAAACAGATATCCCTGCTAATGTCCTACTGCTGTGTTGAAAGAATTGAAAATAATCCAAATTCACCAGGAATTCTCTTAATAAGTTTCTTTACAAGAAAAATATTATTTAATGTAATGTTTCCTTTAGATTTTCCTGATTAATTTGTTTAATGGTAACGTTTGTCTCAATCATACTTAATAACTTCAACCCACTCTTTTTTGTGATGTATTTCTAAAAAGCAAATTTTTGGCAGTTTAAAAGCAATTTTAGGAGACCTATCATGGGTGGAAGCAAACCAAAGACACACAACAGTTGGATTAGCAGGTGTAACTCTTCTCTTTTTTTTTTAAATCAAAACCTCTCTTCATAAGCTCATCGAGAAGATCTCTGTGAAGCTGTTGTGGTCCCGGAGGTTTAGGAGCTACAGGAGGACCAGGCTTCCGAAATGAGGGAGAAGGAGGTGCTATAATACAGAAATAACATATGGATATAGCTACATAATGTAAAACAACATATCCTGATGCTATGTTCATTGGCAATGTTAACTTCAATAGAACACCTACATTCTCTTGAAATCAAACAAATAGTACATGCTAAATAGGGAGAGTGTAGAACAAAATGATATGTAAGGAGATATCCAAGCACTAGCTCCAATCGTCGTCTAAGAATAGCTGTAGCAAATTTACAATTTTGTGATATAAAACCAATTTGTTTCAGTTGCAAGTATTTTTATGTAGGGGCAATGCACTTCTTTGGAGCCAAGTAACATAATGACATACTTGTTTTGAGCATCAGTAAAAGCTCAATACCTTTCTGGTACAATGTATTATGTAATAAAGACTATTTCCATAATTGGTCAGAGTCATTTTGCCACTTTTCTCCTTCCAACACTGCAGTGTCACTTAAGAACAACTTTCCATGGTCTCCAAAATAAACCATCACTATTGAAAGAGCCTCCCCATTCATAATCCCACATAATTACATTTATTTTCAACTCAAAAATGCAATTTCTGTTTGATTCATAACTAGTCCCTGTAACAAATTATTTTTTCTATTGATCAAAAAATCCCCCAGAGAAATCATTCAAAAATAATCAAAGGGCTGCAAAAAATTATCACAATGACCACTTCAAATCTTGAAATCAGTTCTTATATCCAAAAGCAATAACTCTTCCAAAGAATTCTTAAAATCATATTCTATTGAAAACTGCTTCCAAAAATATCCCACCTGCCATTCTATGTATATTTAGACCAATTTTGCCAATATGGCACAAAAAAAGTCAATAATGACCATGCACAATTCATAACTTTGAACCAAAACATGATTCCCTTCAAGCAACAGAATAGTCAAACTGGTGTGCAAAGAATGTGAATTCTTGTACCTTCCCTGGGTTTTGATGGAGGTGGTGGTGGTGGTGGAGGGGGAGGTGCTAAAAAAAGAAAAGAAATCAAAATATTCATCATCAGATATATCTGTAGTACTTAAAATCATAGAGATGAAATACTGTGGAGTGTTCTGAAGTAAATACCATGTCTGCTTTGTAACCTGTGGTTTCCATTGCCCAGTTTTATTGAAGTTTACTGGAAACATGAAAAGTATGTGAAAAGTACTGCCTATGGTTATCTAGAAAGAACTAATCTAATTCTATAAAAAGGATTTCAAATTACTTGCACTTGTAGATCCTTGATTGCAAGTATCAGGTAGTTTTATTTTGTTACTATGCTCTATTCACTCAAACAAACATTTTGTTTTGGACATGAGACTGAATATGCATGCCTGAATCACAATTACAAATCAAAACAGTTATTTATTTTTATTTTTTCTTCAGCCAAGATAAATTTTCGGTGGCACTTAGAAATAAGTAAACATGCTTGACTCTAGAGTGTATCTATCCCAGTGTAGTTCATTCATAACACACAATAGTACATGGTATAGTTGTACATGCAGTGGCCTTTGATATAACATATAATTTATACAGATATATTTTCAATCTACCAGTAATTAATTCTACATATTCCTACTTCTTAATCTATGTAATCCATAGACTTATCAAAACTTGATGTGATGTAACATAACTATAATGAATACACCGAAAACAAACATGCAATATGTAATGGGTTACGTGCAAAAAACATCATTTGATACCAAAAAAAAAAAATAAATAAATAAATAAAAAGATTAAAATGTACTAGAAGACCCTATCCAAAGTTCAGTTGTATATAACTAAATAGTGGCATGCTCCGTGTAATATCTGCATGCAGAAAGAGTAAGTGGCAAACCTTCTCTCTGCAGCATGGAAGACGGAAGAGGTGGAGGCGGCGGTGGATACTGGGAACCATAGTTGGGAGCACCTGTAGATTGAAGTCAGTTATGACAATCAGAAAAAATTAAAAGTGGACCAAATTATTCTTGAAAGTGTTTGTAGGTTATTAAACAAAAAAATGTGTATATACAGATAGACATAATTATCAAGACACCAATAGTCAGTGACATGAATTAAGAATTTCATATAACAGGTAATTGTTACATGTACAATGGAAACAAAAGAAAAACATTTACTATTGCACTGCCTCTAAACATGTTATTAAACAAATGTTAAAATAAACCTGTAATCACAGATTTTCAATTTGATCTACAACATATCTTAAACCAAGTATAAACACCCTTCAAAAAAGGAAAAGATGCCAAAAAGAAATCAGGGAGAAAAAAAAACAGGAAAAAGCATGCACTCATCTTGAAAATACTTCAAACTGGGGCAAGGCTAAAGAGAGGATAACTTGTACCGGAAACACACATTTGATACCACAGAATGAATATATCACAGATAATATCAGCTGCTGCCTCTGCCACCACTTGAATCCCTGTAATCTTAGACCTTCCATGCATTAAAAGTAATAACAAGCATTTATATATTATACCCTCATCAGGGATTCCATTTGCATCACTGTTAGCGGTGGCATCTCCAACAGCAGCAACAGCTGCAACTTCATCATCAGTATCAGACACACTGATGTTTTCATGATCAACCATGCTGTTACTGTCAGTAACAATGTTATGTGCATCATCTATGTTATTGTTAGTGATTTCGTGGGAATCAGGATCAGGTCTCGGGTCTGACTTGGGATACACTGGAAGAGAATGTCATCAAAATATGTTCACAACTATAAAAAAAATATCTACTCATAAAACATTCACAATGCACAGGTGTTATTGATGTCATACCCATACATGACATATACAAATATTGGACACTTGGAAACAAGAAACATTCAGGACATCATAAAAAGAGAACTGCACTGGTACAATATCACTGTGAGGTTTTAGGGACATACTAAAAGTACTTTGACTCCAACCAGAGGCACTTTGACAGAAGAGACATCTGACTGCACAACTTGTTCTATTAAAAGTATGCACTTGAGGGTTTCTACTTACAACTGGAATACTAAACAACAATATCTATTTCAAGACAGTTACAACATACAATTTTCTTGCTAAAGGAATCGGATTCCCAATTTGTAATTTAAATGAACCAAATAAGAGCAATAACTATTTCAAAACAGAAAAACCGTAGCTGTCTAATACAATAAGGTCGCGCGACAAGGTTATTTTCAGTTGCACCCTGGATTACGCACGCTTGCTCCGCAAGGTGTCGCCTGTGGTGGGGGGGCAACACAGCCCATATGGTTACTGTGGCGAAGGTGACAGGTACTTCCAAACATTTTTTCATAACTGTCATTTTTCCTCATTCTATTCACGAATTTGATATTTACGGCAATGGAAAATGTGGCACTGGCAAAAGTGAATCTACAATGTAGGTGCGATGACAGGTCACACAGGTATCCCCATTTAACCGCCGCCAGAGAAGAGACCCCAAGCATTAAACAACACAACCTGTAGGTATTGGAAATTTGGCGAAAGTTAAGCAACTGAGGCTTTATTAGATTTGGACAGAAATCGAGGGGAATGTCCAGTGACATGCCAAACCCCTAAGTTCAAGTCTTGGCCCTTGACACCAGTAACGCACCTCTTAGTCAAGAATCTGAACAAATCAATGTTGGGCAGGTATGCTCTATTTTCTACAGGCGTTTGGTGATTTTATCAACTTGATTGCCAAGTGCCAGCTAGACCTTTTGTTCCCAGGTACCAGTAGCAAACTTTATCAGATAACAATCTGACACTAACCATCCTGCACTAACAGCACTGTAAACCCAGTTATCAATGGTGTCATCTTTACCTGTATCTTTACCGGCATTATGCCAGTGGTACGTTTGATACATTTGAGTAAGGAAATATGCTTAAATTCTTATATTCATTTATAATACATGTACGTTAGCATCAACCTGTTAATAAAAACTTGGAAACTTTCAATGTTATTACACAATAACAGTATAATGAAGGGAGATGTTATGATTAAATGCTTAGAAGAATAATAAAAACAGATTATGTGAAATATAAAATGAATTGATTTTATTAGGGTTATTTATTTCAAACCAATTAATTATCAAACATGAAGCTTATTTTTAAAAACATTCGCAGATATATGAAATATAACCCTGCTGGTACACAGATCTACAGTTCTAAAATGCAAATACCAAGTACATGTTCCTTTCACACACCACTGATGAGATGGTAATAATCATATGTGTAAAGCAGTAATATATCACAAGAAATGTGTAAGCAAGATATTTCTACAAGAAACCTCATTAATCAGTCAGGCAACCTCATAATGCACCCAATAAATGTAGAAATTTGAGCCAGAGAAATTCTACATACATGCATGACAGATTTACCATATATTGCCACCAACCCTTAACTGAATGGGCATAGAAAGAACAAAGTGAGTCTCCCTCCCATTAAAAATAAAAAAATAAATAAAAATAAATAAAAAACAGATACTGTCATTCTTAATACTGAAAAACAATGGCACCTTGCAGCCTTCAATGCCTCACTTTTTGCAGACAATGTCCAATAGTCACTGTAACTGTGTACTTTTGATGAGGCATAGATGCAAGAATAACTCCTTTGAAGTATATTGTGAAGGTCTCTTTTGTCATAAATCTGCCACGAATAACCTGAATGTACATATTGCAATTCACACCGCAGCAGCTTGTCTTAGTAAGGACTCAACCAGTTGAAAACTTGAGGCACAGCTTCAGGGACAAGATCACACCATCTATCCTTGCTGTGATGATGGATCTACTAGTACATTATCTATGTCTTGTCCTCCTGGTTTCTCTAATACCATTTCCCCTGATCTATGCTCACATCAATCTCTACAGCTTTACCAACTGCTACACAGTTTTTACATCTGAAAGTATAAAGCAAATATTGTAATAAAGCACTATCAATTTACTTGTTAGATATTGATTTGAGGGCAAGAGAAAAAGGCAGCAACCTCATATCATAATCAAGATAATTGAAAATCAAATAATGCATAATCAAAAAGCTTTAATTGTATACACTACTGATGATTTAATCTTTTAAACTTCAGCATAAATTTCTCTTGTTAAAGCGTAGCCACTTTATCAAAATGTGCTTGAACAAATAATAATAATAATGATAATAATAATAAACAATGTCAACCTGCACACAAGATGGAACATGGAGGTCAACTGCCACAAAATAAGTTGATTTGTACTTGGTAGCCTGAGAAATAGTATCAGGTATTAATTTGAGCAGTAAATTGAGTAATAATACCACAGAGTTAACAATGACACAAGCATACGGTGTTATGTAACAAAATTCATGCATTACTTACTGTGGCAGTGACCTCCTCAACCTATCGTGCACCGCAGGTTTTGATTTTCAATGTCATCAAAAAATGTTATTGTTGTTAGTTTGATCTATGTATCTGCTATTCAAATAATATCGTTTGGAAAATAACTAACTGATTTAATTTTGCTTTTGCAACATGAAATTATCATTAACTTTGCCGGTTCACGTGTATACAGTACCTTGCTATCAGTGCTGCTCTTTTCTCCCCAACTCGCCACTGACAGGCTAACCACATCGTTTCAAAACAACGTTGGTATTCTCCTTTACTTTTGGTGTTGGCAGTTTCGTCCCTGGGACATCGTTTTCGGTTAAAAACAACGTATCGTTTTCACCCATCTATGCATTGCTCCTGTACAAAATGGCCGCTTGTTGCCCCCCAAGGGCAAAATCGTAGCACGTGGGTAGTTACGCAAGACCTGTGACGTATAACGCGCGCATCGTTATTAAATAGTCTATATTAAGTTAAACTTCTGTTGGAAACATTCTCAAGTTACTATTTGTCTAGACAGAAAATCAACCAATTTCCTTCCACGCCCCTGTAACTACAATACATGCAAATCTCTACTTGCTCACTAAAGGTAAAACTCCTGGAGAGCTTAATCCACCAAACATGAATCACAGATTCTTATGATTTTCCCCAAACACAAAATCATCTCCAAATTTCCACAAATTCACCTTTCCACAAATTTTTTTTTCTTTTTCAAATTTGCCTTAAAATATTGTTTTTAGTCAGTGAATCACTAGTTCTTATCTAAACAGTTTATTTCAAAAAGTCTGGAGTATGGCACTTGTTCTGGGCATAATTAATCAATATTGTGTAAAATGAATTTGTGGCAAATTGTTTCTGTATTGCTACTATCCTGTTTCCTAAACACCTGATTTGATCCTGGTTAGAACCAATAGATAATCAATTGGTTCAATTTTGAACCGTTTTGGTGTAAGTATTTAATTTGGCCATGCACTCTTTCAGTGAGAATACAGACTAAACAAGATGGTGATGGTTCAAGCCAAGATCATGCCAGTTAGTCTTTCTAACCATATTTCCATGTCTACAGTGTATACCTTGATAACGTTGTGCATAAAGCGGCTGTACTGGTGTTGCTGTTAAAGCAAAATCTGCGACAAAATAAAAACAAACAGCAACTCAAGAAGCAGAAGTGCAATGATAATAATAGCAGTAAAACATATCTGTCAGGAAAGCAAAACATTTGAAACTGTATTATTTTGGATTAAATCAATAGCTGTGATGAAAAGTAAAGATATTCTGTAATAAGTGCATGAGCTAAACTACTGAGCCCAGAAATTTCAATTTGCTGAATGCCTGTTGTTTATATGTACCCTTTGATTGAAAACACCCCTGCAACCTAAATCACTTAATAAATCAAAATTTTGCAAAATCATACATGGTATTAAAAAACTACCTGGTTCAGCCCCAAGTGTGGGGGTAGGCTCATCAATTCCTTCAAAATTAGAACAAAATACTCTCTAAAAGAAGGGGTTGGAGTACTTTTGCTCAAAAGCTATGTATAAAATGCATGCTTTATTAATGGAATCTTAAACCAATGTTGGATCAGAAATGGAATGTTTTGGGCTGGATATGAATAAGAAAAGGATCACTATGAATTTGAGATGATTGAAGATTCTCTGTACAAAAGATTAGAGGTAGAACTTAACAATATAAGTAACTGCAATGTTAGGTCAGGTAGCATAAGTACAAAGCAATGCATTAAGAAAACATATTTAAAATGCATGCTATGTTGGATTTTCATTTTCAAAGCAGCTCAATAACTACTATTTTACAAGTGGGAGACAGTTTTCAGTGATAATGAGAAGACTTCAAAAGGAATTCTAAATGAGACTCTCTACCTTGTGTTACATTGCTATGATCTGGTACATCATGGCCGCCAGAACCAAAGTAAACTCTTTCTGGATCCAGGTTAAATATTTTCATGAACTCTGGGTCTGCTAGTATTGGAGATTCTAAAATATCATTGCTAATGTGCTATTTATGGTGCAGTTATAAGAAGTTCTAAGGACTGTCAATATAATGCAGATGTTAAGTATGTTATATCTATGTTACTTAATGATAGTTTTATCTATTTTTCATAATAGCAAATAGCAAGTTCTTGGTGTAAAACAATAACAAAGCTTCAGTGTGAAAATGAAGTTGGGCAAAATGCATTTAACCTTTTTTTTCTATTGCACATGTCACCTATAAGGCCACTACCAAGAGGCCATGTGAGCAACAGAAAAAATTTCCACCTGACTGATTTGATTTGATTTGATGACTGATAATCAAAAATAGTGAACTTAATCATGCACGCCATCCAAAGTATTTTTCTGCATTGCCCATCAAAAACTTCTGATCCTTTTTTATTATTTCTTCTCAATCGTATTTTCACACTCAAGCTCACAGTTATTGCCTTTCTGACAGAAAGATGTGCAGCAAGACATTACTTAAAGCAGTATAAATACAGTGTATATATAATGTAAGCAAATAATACATTTATCATTATAACAGACAAAATGCACACCAAAGCCTTATTCACTAAATAATATTGGATGAAAAATAAAGGAGAAGTGATTCTAATATAAATACATGTAAGACTGCACTGTTATGTCAAATGCATATTAAAAGCATCTACATGTATTCACTGCAAACATCTACACTAGTTCTATATGTGCAACCATATCAGCTCAAGATGCAGCAAGATATATATATATATATATATATATATATATATATTTACAATGTCAATCATTATGCAATATGGAATGAATCATCACCAATGTCATCTCTGAAACAAATCAGGGTAATGATATGATAGTATATCGCAAGTTAACCTCATCCTACCTAGACGGAGTTGACTCAGATCTGGAGGAGGAGGGAATTCTGCCTCTTCGACCACGCCACGAACACCCTGCACGCCATCTATTAGCTGAAATATAAATCACCAAAATTATAATTATCATGTTCTGATATAATTGCACTACTAACACAAATGACTTCACAATTAAAACACTTTGGGGTCTTATGAAATATGGATAAGTTTTAATCAAACTACTTTCAGAAACATACATGTAGCTGATGATGTTTGTACTTCAAAAAGTACACTTCATAAATTGATCTAAAAGTGATAAACACCACATATTAAAGCGAGTGTTAAAATAATCATACATAACCAAAGTAAATAGTACAAATATAATTCAACCAAGACCAGTAAAGGCACTTTACCCTATTGTTTGAGGCCCTCCAATTGTTTGCAGCACTGGGATCTCTGGGATTGGAGGCTAAAATCTTAGCATCCCTCACCATGGGGGCTATGCCTGGAAAATAGACATAATCATGGAGGTCAAATTCTATCTGGATTTAAAGTGAGAAAAGATAGGACATGTATGCAGAAGAATATGTGGTGGCTGAAGTCACTTGGGTTTTGACTCAAATTTTCATAGCAAGAAATGACTACCATAAAATATGCAATCACATTAGTCACACTTACTGGCCTTAAGGTTTTCAGTGGCAGAGCCAACTTTCTGCACATATGCAGGGTCTTCACTGTTTTCTGCCTCTTTTTCGCCAGCCTGTACCACACGGTTTGCCAGACGAGCTATGTTTGAAGTGTTACTAACTATGCCTTGGGCATCTCCCCTCTTGATGGCACTCTCAGTCTTCTCTGTGTCTCTGAGAATGCCTTCCTCTGAAACCATCATGATTATCATTTTCATTACAACTTTTCGTTATGACTTACTTGCTGGAAAAGAATTTGAGCCTCAAAAATCTCCATAATATTAGGCAAAATATGACCAGAGTTTGACTCCAAAATGACAAAAAGACTTACATAAAACTTATTAATTTTCTTTTTTTAAAAACAACTGATATAATCTAGCACTACAGAAAATAATCAAATTGTAGCAGTTGTCCCATCATTTCTAAGTCACATCTACAGTAATGATTCCTCTCATCAATATTCAACACAATCTGTTTTCCCAACATTTTTAAGTCCCACCTAAAGCAATTGTTTCCACATATCATTTCAACACAATCTGTCTCACCTGCTGCTTTGATCAGTGCCACAGTGTCTGTAGCCTCATCTACCAGCCCTCTCAGTTTCTCCATATTGTCTGTCCATTGTTTCTTCATGAGGTCAAAGTTTTCCTGGGCTGCCTGGTTCTGGGGGTTCAGGAGGACAACCTTGGCTGCCTGGATCACCTGGGGTGTGAGATCATTGATCTGAAATTTGAATGGTTTATATGTTCTGAAACAGCTGAGTTTGTGTTAAGTAAGGCAATATATTTCAAAGAGAATTCTACCATTCAACTTGTATTAAGACTACAAAATAACCACAAAATCATCAATCTCTATTTTTAATATGACAATTCTGCTAATTGCTATCAAGCTAGAATACAAAATATATGTTCAGAATAAAATGTGACCACTTATACCAAGCAAAAAATTGCCAGGCATAAAAAATTGCATAAAATTGAAAAAGAAAAAAAGGAGGCAAGTGGATATTCAACCAGTCTGATGGCACTTGATATTTATTGCTTTAAAAGACCAGAGAAAATAAAGATATTTATTTCTTCTACTGTTTAAGTGTTTCTCTACACTTGTCATAAAAAATGACACTCTCTCCTTACCTGCTGAGAAGTGGAATTGATGGCCTCCACTTGCCTTTTGTTGTCCCCTGCACCCGCCGCTGCCACCAACCTGGCTGTGTTGGCCAGCTGCTTAGAATGTTGGTCAAATTTGTGAGCCTTGTCTTGGAAGTTTTCTTCTCTGCCTGGCATGCCTGGGAGTCAAATTTGAATTAATAAGTATTGTGTTAACCAAGTTCTTATCCTAAACTGTTTTTGGCTTAATTAAAGGTTTGTAAAGTTTGAGCAAAATAAAGCTTTTCAGAAGGTAAAAAGATAAAACAACCTCAATTTCATTATGGAATCTTTTTCTCCCCATTCCTGATAGAAATTTTTCCTGATTGTATCCTATATTTTTAAATAGCTTTTTTTCTGAATGTCTCATTTCATTTGAAAGCCTTTGGTCATAAGAAGAA